CGATTGGCTGCATATGGTGGAGGCGGGCCTGATGACCAAAAGTAAACACTTGTCACGAGATAATGTGTTGACTTACACCGGGACAGGAACCGATGCAATTATTTATGACAGCTGTCGTGTCATTTTGCCCTGAGTGACTGCAGAAGCATTATTTTAAGGACTTTCAGCCAACACACTGTAGCTTAAGTAGGTCACTGTCTTATGCATTTGGCTTTCTGGGAACATGTGTTGCCTTTCCTCTCATGTCAAGTGCCCTAATGGAGCTGGGTTTGTAAGGAAAGGAAGAACTAGAATCTGGACGTAGTCACTAGGCTGTACTTCTGATCAGCGTGTGCCTCATCACTCCAAGTTCAACGATCCTGTCTTTCTAGTGTGAAAAGTTTAACGTTCCTGCAACACGCTTACGGATCGTGACTTCGGAAATCTCGGAAGAAAACTTCGAACCTGTCCCGAGTTACTAAATATTCGGTGAATATATTGGCTCCGGAGGAGTGAAGGATATACCCAGGCTTCTCGAGATTGTTAATAAGCAGTTTCGAAAGTTGACCGCAGACGGGACATCAGCTGGTATGCCTGTCGGTACTTGCTAAATAATTTTAGTTGAATGAGCCGATTTTTAGTATTGAGTAAGACAAAAACGGAATTCTGATGTTCCGGAAGTATAGAGGACCTTTATTAAGTCATCGTAGTCACTTCAAAAGGGTCGAGAAGTCAACAACACTGATAGCGTTCAGCGTGTGCGGTAGGGGAGGATAGCAGTAGGAGAGGGGCAGGTCGCTAGGAAAACCTGCAAAAAGGAAGCGTTGGGAGGAGAGAAGAGGAGAAGGCGGAACTGCGTTCACGTTTGCGTGTTTTTTGATTATGGCACACGGGGTGCTGATGCAGGTTGATTTTAGCTTCATTAAATATTCAGCCTAAAGGACTTCCTGTCTTTCCGTATGCTCCTCTCTCGTTAAAGCCCTGGCAACTGAGGTGCTTCACGAGGTTGGCAGAAATAAAAGTGCCAGTACAAGCGAAAGTGCAAGGACAGTTGCCTGCCGCTGCACTAACTGCTATCGGCGGAGCCATTAATTGTCATAGAAGAAGCACAGCGGCTGTATACATACTGCAGCTCTCTATGTATCAGTTGCCCGTTTTTTCTACAGTCTCTGATGGTGGATTCGCGAAGGAACCGAAACGTCAGGTGAATAGAGTTCTTGTCCTAGCACATGTTACTCCTCCGAAATATAAGTGAAAAAGACCGGAACTACTGAACGTCGTTGATTTCCTCGAAGAAGGACCAGTGTACGAATTGTAATGTAGGTGGGTAGTTTATGAAAAGAAAATCTTTCCTAGGGTACATTAAGGATGCGGATTTGGATGGTTACGTAGATTATACAAAGCTGTACACCAGTCTATTTAATTTCGCTGGATCAGTTCATGTCAGTTCTTTTCAGCAAGGGTCAGTGCCTGAGTTAGCCTTTTGTCTCGTAGAATGGGTGATCACCCTGAGGGACTTTCCGCCTGCCGCTCAGAGCAAATAGGTACCTTGTGCTTCTCTTCGATCAGTCGTGAATTTCCTGTTCAATTTTTGAGGAAATTGAGGAACAATTCTTTTTATTTGGGTCCGAAAGTTAATGTGAATATTTTAACTACTGTGGAATAACCGTATAATATTCAACAAAAGACAGTCAGTAGTAAAAACTACGTTATTATTTATTATTTTATTTAATTGCAGCTGCTGAGAGAATTTTACTGTACCGGTCTGTTGTTCGCCGCGAGGCATGCATTTGTCGGATGGTCTCTCTGCCCTCGTCTTAACTGCAAAAGAACCCTATAGTCAAATGGGACTCTGAGTAAAGTTAGGATTTTGAACCGGTCATCATTTATCACTTTTTATTCATTTAGATACCAGCAATTGCGTTAATCAGTTTAAGAACCTTTTAGTTCCGAATAACCTCCGGTCAATCACTCGTTGGCACAAAGCTGAAATTTACACATACAATTTGCAAAGGGCTCGACTGTCTGTTGATTATGGCTCCCGCAATCTCGGACCAAACGTCTTCTCTGCAGACATGCTTAAATGATTTTTTGATCCAATCTCCTAATATAAACCGTCCGTATATGGATTTGTTCATATGGTGCCACTGATCACATTCTGCTTTCTTTGATGGCAAAAAATCCATTTTGTTGACCCAGTAACTTGTACTCCGGAGCCGAAATGGAAAGACCGGTTGCCGGTATGCCAGTCTTATTTGCGTAGCCCCCAGGCTTGCCTTCTAAGCATTTGTCTGCGAATAACCTAATAATAATGATTTGTGGTTATCGAGGAACCAGCACAGTGGCTAACTTAGACATATCCTAACGAAGAACAGATAAACTCCTAGTTCGTAAACCTAAACACCAAGCGTAATGTCAGTAAACATCGATATCTTACTGAGATCATCCGCGCAATCTTTGGAGCATCATAGTTGACGAGACCCATAATTACTCAGCTAAGTAAAGGCGACCCTAACTTACACGTGACTCCATCCCGAATGAAGGAACTTTTTACTGAGCCTATCACAGTGACTTAAGTAAATGGGAAAGACCCTTATCGCTGCGAAATTGGTGACACTGACGTGATCCGAACTCGCAACTACTAGATATGTGTGAAGCCTATAATCATAAAATCTCGTTAGACCTCATCTGAAGTTTACCATGTCACATAATGTGACCACGATATAGAGAATTTCGTGACGAACATCCTGTTATGAAGCGCTATGGAGGACATAAACCACTCTCAATCCATCACGTTCGCTTTCAAAATCAATCATGTTTTGATAACAAAGCAAATTCAAAACGATCGGCAATTGGTATAGGTGCTGTGGTTGAAAAAGTCCAACAGCCCCGCTACGCATGCAAAACACACGCTAGTCTATAATTCTGCATGCACCAGGCCTCATGCAATGCTACTTTCACAGAACTCGCGTAAGTTGGAATGTGCGTCCGTCCACGTTGAGCAAGCAATTTAGTCCGAGCCGCAGTCCTGAATAGGATTTCCTTCACTCTTTTAAGCAGCTCTTGAAGTCGCGACTGATACCCCGTTATAATGATGTGTTGCTTGCCATAAGGCCGGGATCATAAACAGTATTGGCGCGATTTTTTTCCACCTGCTCCTCTCCTCTGACATGAGTTGGCGCCTGTATGGGTCAAGCCGCATAGGAGGGCGACTGATTGCTGGGGTTGACTGAGATTTTCAACCCAAGTATGCGTAGCTCTCACGTCCTGTTAGTCAAATCCACAGGTCAGGCTTCATTCAGCGGGACTTTCTTCGTAAAGTACAGGAATGAGAAAGAGAGCCATAAATCCTAAATTAGATGGATCCGTTGCAGGTCAGCCTAAGTTCTAATCAAAATTGATATGTGCCTCCAATAGGAAAACGTACAGCTCTTTTCTGTTACTGTTTCCTGCTAATGTCTCCGATGATAAATCCGCGATGGATGTTGAAACGTCAGGCGAATAAAAGTATTGTCCTAGCAGTCTAGTCGTCTTCCTCTCAATTCAGGTCTGTTTACGCGTTGTAATCGTTCAAATACCTATTTGGCTAGATACGATGAGTAGGTGGTCACCGGATCTGCATTGACTCAACCACAGTAAATCCACACTCCCCCAAGCAAAATAGGCCTTTTCGGGTTAAACTGACTGGGCATTTGATTGGACGCATTGGCCAGTGGCATGCAAAGCCACTCTCAATTCGTGTTACACACAAATTTTACATAAACAAAACTCTACAATATATTGCAGACCATTTAGATTTTAGGAGGTCCGCGTGTACCATTTACCTGTACGGGCTGTCCTTCCATGCGAATGCTAATGCTGGGTTATGCGTGTAGGAGATGAACGGAAACTGGAAGTCTTTGACCACTACTGCTTAATAACCATCCTTTGCGTGACGTACACCGACTTCCTCTCAAACGAGACAGTCCGTACACGCTGCGATAGCATCGAAAGGATATCCCAGGCAATCCAAGAAAGACGACTGATGTGGTGTGGACATGTTCTTCGCCATCAACCTCGAAGTCTGTCTTTTGTCCAGAAACAGTTGCTTGTTTATTTGGTACAGCGGTTGACACTTCTTAGATGGCGCATCCACGAAAGGAATGGACACGCTCGTCACGCAATAAAAATGACTTTGCGATATATTCAAGAAAGGTTACACAGTCTCGTGTCGAAACTCCAATCTAAACCCCAACCGCACACTAACTTTTACCCTTAAACGTACTCTTCACGCTGTCCGTAACCGCAACTCTAACCGTAATCGCCGAGGAATTTACCACGAATACGTCTCTTATTACAAGTACCTCTTGTCTCCATGTTTTGCTAGTGGACCATACAGGCGATACTTACAGCTTCTCAAGTTTACTGAGCATACAGATATCCTAAGGTGCTTTGTGCTTTTGAGAATTTTGGCTTTGCATCTCACCAAATCCATCTCATAGAGTCACCTCTTGTGACAGGTGAGCGGAGCCACTGAAGTGAAACAATCCCTCCTGGACCACAGACCTGCATGCTATTTTCCGTCAATATTTTGAAATGGATGCAATATTTTCTTACAATGCAAACAAATTTTCTGCCGAGATACCGGACCTAATAGAGGTTAAATGCATATTTTTGAGGCTTGTACACTCAATTAAATTGGTTTTTGGATCATAAATTCTACTGAACCTTATCATAGTTTTACCAGGTATAAACACTAATCGATAAAGATAACTGTTATAGAGTAAAGGATTGGAAATTCTAAAGTATGGTTTGTGAGGGCTTCACATTCAGGTGGCTTTGCTACATTTTCAGCAACTATTTCAGACTTCTTTTACTTGATTAGACCTTTACGCTTCACATTTTTTAAAATTCTTTGGAGTAACAATGCTTTCTGGTCCAGCAGAATGTGAACTGTTAGATTAATGTAATCTGTTATTCTACTATTGCATGGCAACAATTACCGTGTCATGAGGCATGTGCTTCATTCATCTGAAAAGGTAATGAATAATACACCCTTTTCAGCTGCAGCCAGGAATTCACGGCAAATTAAAGTTTGTGAAGGGGACCTCTTTGATGGCGTTGCTGGATACGAGGCCAAACCCAGGGAAAATGACCACAAAACGAATGTGAATGTAAAGTCGACTATAAATCGCAATAAAGGGCCCTCAAAATTAGAAGAATCCTACACCATCAGGCTGTCAGCCCTGCAGCCGAGGTCGCCTCCAAATGATGGTTATGCTGCAAAAAAACTCTTCCGCTCACACGCCGTCTCCCCACCCACTTTGGCCTACATCTTCTCCAACCCACCCACCTCTTCACCTGGTGCAGATTCTGAAAAAGGCGATACTTTACAACACTGCGAAAGCCCAAATGAGGGCACGTCAAGTACGATCAACAAGGTAATGAACGAGAACTTTCCCTTTCAGACACCGTTGAGGTTGTTGGGCTCAAGAATGGCACATGAGTTTGAAAAAAATAGGCCTATAGAGGGAGGTAGTGTTTTTTCGTTTTATACTTCTTCCTTTTCCCATATTCCTCATTTTCCTTAAATTATATACCAAGGGCGAGAAAGCATTTCTCCTGCAACCTCGCTCTTAACTGAGTGTTGCTGAACTGCATTTCAACTTCGGTTCATTGGCGTAGTCGAGTCATTTCTGTGTAAATCATAATTCATCGGCCTGTCAGCTGAACAGCAATAACAACAACAGCACATCGAGTTGGGTTTAAACTGTTTGTCAGACGAAGCTTAAGCGCAATTTTGCGACGACAGCTGCCAGAACACAAACACTTAGTTTGCCAGTGGGGTCACAACATTTCGCGCAGTTCAAAATACACCAGCGTAATTCACATATCATACACTCCTAGAGCGGAATTTAATCGGTTGGCTGGGGGTAAAGACTCAGGCAGAAATGCGTATCTTGTCCCTTATATTTTCCTGAGGCCTATGTCTCATGATGATAGCTTTGTTATACTAGAAGCGCTTGTGAATACCTAATAACAAACATCAAAGCATGCCCTAAAATGAAACATACTGCCTTGAAAACATAACTAATTCCTGAATACCATATTAGCCTTCAAAATAGAACATTCTATCAAAGACTTTCTTCGAAATCTTATAGATCCAGGTTTCATTGATTCTGTAAAGCCTCCTCCTTCCTTTCGAAGTAAGATTCTGCCTAAAAATTCACAGAAATTGTGGCATGAAAGTAGTCCTTAACGCCAAAACACGAGTGCGATCCCAAGAGTAACTGACGCGTCCTTTGGAAGCGTACGCATAAAAATTTAAAGGACTAGGCCTAACTTACCCAATTGCAAATGGGAAAATAAAAAATTAATTTCGCAATAAAACTAGAAGTAGTAGTTTTATAAGCGCCATTTCAGTAAGTGTTGGTTATTGCACGTACGCGAAGGGAACTGGCTGCCAGGGCAGCTAAGCGCCTCCCCAATTGGCTTTGCAAGCAAGAAGAGAGAGAATACTACGGTCCTCAATTACTAAGCACTTGCTAGACAGTGGTCATACTGTCGACGTCAAAAACCGTCTCGAGTACTTGATCGGGCACGGAAAAATCGAACTCTGCGCTATTTTGAAGCTGCTTACATGCGACGGGAGAAACTGGACCTATGTAAGCAGCTTAATATTGTGGTCGAACTCCAAAAACCCTAGTAATTGGGCACTTAGTTTTAATCCCCACCTCATTTTTGTTAACTTCTCTCGACCTCGCTTTCATTCCTATACGTTGATTTAATGATGTGTCACTTATCTGTTTTAAATATTACACGCTAATTTCAAAGAATCTTGTTATCCACGGTACAATTCCATTCACAAGGGCTAATTTCTAATAACGGGCTAAATTGGAATAGGAAAGGATCGGAGGGATTTCATGCAAGATACCAGGTTTAAGGCGGCTCTGAATGCATACCTATTAAGCAATATATAGAACAGAAATTCGAGTATTGCAATAAAAGTTTGTACTATTCACTGGACGTTTTTATTGATTTTTATGGTTACTTAAAAGAAAAGACTTCTGTTTTTATTTTTCGGCGTATTTTGGTGTTTTTTTCTATTTGCGTAATCTAATTTCGAACATTATTGCGAAGGTGCTTATTACGCTGCCTCTTTAAAAAGACTAGATTCCAACATATGTAATTGTTCGAGATTTTGTTTGTCCTCCAATATTGTTCTCTTTGCTTACCTTTCAAATAGCTTCTAATCATCAGTTGTGGTTGAAGATATTCCTCGTTAATTAGTTGTGCCGACAAAATGTTGGAGATTTATAATTACGCTACTTCGTGCTAATTAATAAAAGACAAGGACAAAATGGGTTTTAGGAATGCCGAATGGAAAGGAAACAGTGGTGGACAAGAACTGCATTTTGCGTCCATGTTCCACACAGCGTTCATGCTATTAAGCAAGTCATTAACTTCAAATTTTTAATTCAGCAGATTTAACCTAGGCTGCATAGATATTTGCATTGTGCACAAATTTATCAAGAAGCAAATTTCATCCAATAGTACAAAACTGGGAAAATATTTTCAAATAATTTTGAAAAGTTACTGGAAGTAACCATTCAATAAGCCTGCAAGAGTAGCTTGTGAGTTCTAGAATAAAACAAAATTGATCCATCTGGCCTACAGTTTATCCATATTTTTCCAAAAGCAGATAATGAGGTTAAAAACAAAAAAAACAACTATTAATCCAGCAAATGTACGTTTGCCGTAAATGAATAATTTTTATCAGATACTTTGAAAGTACACAGATTCTCGGCTGCACTTTTTGTTGGACAGGACTGAAAACTTTGTCTGAACTATAGTTGTTTACACAATCACTGACTGTGTCGTTCATTATAAACGATGAGATTTTACGCGCTTTCGTCATATTTTGGAAGGTGATTGGTATTTCTTCAGTTAAATACTACATCTCTAGTTGCTATGTGTTCTTCGAGAAATTTGTCTGAATCCCAGAGTGCCAGTGTTTGTCCATGTGTTCGAGGTTATAATTACGTTAGGTCTTCGTGGGAATAAATTTATAAGTTAGAATGTTTCCATAAGCTAGACAAAACAATATCAATTTATTGTATGAATGGAAGTAGACCATTAATAAAAGTCGGGTTTGGCTTCTTGGGGTATAATGAGTCCATTTACGTTGAGTACATATTAAGTGTTTCGACTGTCTCAATTTTGTGAAGTGTGAAAAAGCATTGGGCCGAAGAATGCTTCCCTAAATGTCAAGTAACTGTAAGTTTAAACTGCAAATTTAAGTATTAAAATTAAAACTGGTATCCTTGGAATTGTGTAGTTGAACCTGGTGCAGAAATTTGAATCCGGACAAATGTTCAGTGGAAAAAGTTTTTTGCAAGTTTCCGAGAGTTTCGAAATGAGTTGCGATATTAAAAAACCACCCAGGCTTTTCTAAGAAAAATTGCATCGTTCATTTCTGATTAGGCAAACATCCCCCTGATTCTTGTGAGACTGAGTATTTTTCCGTTTTTTGTTTGCTCATACCTTTCACAGAAAGTACTTTAAAGCGGTGTTTACTCACGAACTGTGGTAATTAAATACAATTAACTGTTGCAGTTTTGTCATTACCCTTCATTTTTCTGAATGTACAACATTTAGAAATAAATGCATAC